TCACTAACCACACTAACCCTTCACCAGCTCACGAACCACACTAACCCTTAACTAGCTCACTAACCACACTAACCCTTAACCAGCTCACTAACCACACTAACCCTTAACCAGCTCACTAACCACACTAACCCTTAACTAGCTCACTAACCACACTAACCCTTAACCAGCTCACTAACCACACTAACCCTTCACCAGCTCACTAACCACACTAACCCTTAACTAGCTCACTAACCGCACTAACCCTTAACCAGCTCTCTAACCACCCTAACCCTTAACTAGCTCACTAACCAGACTAACCCTTAACTAGCTCACTAACCACACTAACCCTTAACCAGCTCACTAACCACACTAACCCTTAACTAGCTCACTAACCACACTAACCCTTAACCAGCTCAATTACCACACTAACCCTTAACCAGCTCGCTAACCACACTAACCCTTAACCAGCTCACTAACCACACTAACTCTTAACTAGCTCACTAACCACACTAACCCTTAACCAGCTCGCTAACCACACTAACCCTTAACTAGCTCACTAACCACACTAACCCTTAACCAGCTCGCTAACCACACTATCCCTTAACCAGCTCACTAACCACACTAACTCTTAACCAGCTCACTAACCACACTAACCCTTAACCAGCTCAGTAACCACACTAACCCTTAACCAGCTCGCTAACCACACTAACCCTGAACCAGCTCACTAACCACACTAACCCTTAACTAGCTCACCAACCACACTAACCCTTAACCAGCTCGCTAACCACACTAACCCTTGACCAGCTCGCTAACCACACTAACCCTTAACCAGCTCACTAACCACACTAACTCTTAACTAGCTCACTAACCACACTAACCCTTAACCAGCTCGCTAACCACACTAACCCTTAACTAGCTCACTAACCACACTAACCCTTAACCAGCTCGCTAACCACACTAACCCTTAACCAGCTCACTAACCACACTAACTCTTAACCAGCTCACTAACCACACTAACCCTTAACCAGCTCAGTAACCACACTAACCCTTAACCAGCTCGCTAACCACACTAACCCTTAACCAGCTCACTAACCACACTAACCCTTAACTAGCTCACTAACCACACTAACCCTTAACTAGCTCACTAACCACACTAACCCTTAACGAGCTCACTAACCACACTAACCCTTAACCAGCTCACTAACCACACTAACCCTAAACCCAGGAGTTGGCAACCCGCGGCTCTTGAAGGAGCCGCTTTCGTGACTATTCAAATGCACTGCGGACTCTGTAAACATTTGAGGCTGTTGTTTTTTACTTTAAACCGAATTCCAAAATAATGACTCTTCCTGTTACACTGCTTGCCGACTCCCACCCCCACCCACTCAGCTGTGTCCCCTGTGCGGCGCAAGGTGAGGCGTCTGCCCTTGTGGGGTGGTGGTGGTGGTCGCGGCGATGATTGCGACCCTGTCTGTCTCCCCAACGCAATCACACGACTTGATGCATCCAAGCCCAACCAACCAACCGCCTATACCGTGTCATCTCACAGCGCCCCCCCCACACCCTGCCCCCGTTTCACAATCCACTGCTGGATGCAGACCTCCCCTGTGCCGGCCCGGTCAAATGGAGGGGGAGGGTTGTTTGAACATACTTCCCCACGATGGTCGGCGTGAAACGGGCAACCCCCCCCCCTCTCCCTCCCCCCGAGGGACCGACCGGTTCAGGGTTCAAACGGGAGCGAGCGACTGCTGTTCGCCCTGGCAGGGGACTCGCGTTCAGTTCACCCGCCACCACCACAACCGTGACCCAACATTTTGTGCTGCGTGCAGGAATAATTCACGATTCAGAGTGCCGCTAACTCAGCTCGAGCCTCCCGCGAGATCTCGTGACCTCTGCGTGCCCACCAGACGCTACTCTGCAGGCCAGAGAGCACACCACGCAAACTACAAAGACAAAGACCCTCCGAATAGTCTCAACAGACTGTTGGGGCAAGTGCTGTTAGCGGGTAGCACCTACGAAGGCCGGCACAGCACACGAGGTGGGTTTGGTGGCCAACACACACAAAGACAAAGATCCCCCGTGTAGCCTTAACAGAGTGTTGGGGCAAGTGCTGTTAGCGGGTAGCACCTACGACGGCCGGCACGGCACACGAGGTGGGTTTGGTGGCCAACACACACACAAAGACAAAGATCCCCCGTGTAGCCTTAACAGAGTGTTGGGGCAGGTGCTGTTAGCGGGAAGCGCCTACGAAGGCCGGCACGGCACAGGAGGGGGTGGGTGGCCAAGACACACAAAGGCAAAGATCCCCCGTGTAGCCTTAACAGAATGTTGGGGCAAGTGCTGTTAGCACACGAGGTGGGTTTGGTGGCCAGCACCACGGGCGGCCGCCTTTGTCTCCCCTCTCCAAGCCCCGCCCACTGTGAAAACAGACGCCGCTCCGTGCATCAGCGGCGTCGAGCTCCCGACGCAGCCTCTCCCCCCTCTCCTCGTCTCTCCTGACCCCTTCCTTCACTCCCCATCCACGTCGCTCCGGTACTTTTCCGTCCTCTTTCTCGTATTCCCCATTGCTGGCCCCTCCTCTCCCCTCTCCCCGTCGCATCCTTTGCCGGCTCTTACCAACCCGTTGCCGCGGCGTTGAGCCACGGGTGTGCAACAACAAGTGGCAGGTCAATAAGCCAACAGTGGCGTTTGACACGCGACTCGGGTGACTAGCTAGCTAGCGATGTCCATACTGTATATGTTGGGACTTCTTTTGCACCGTACGTAGCCAACCGCGCCAATCGGAGGTGCGGGCACGGGGCGGAGGACAACGGGCTAAAACACAAAGAGCAGTTCCAAAGAGCCGATTTGTCAATTTTGATTTTTTTTTTAAAGTGCATAGCTCCCAGTGGCTTGCAACATGTGGCATGCAACATGTGGCATGCAACATGTGGCATGCAACATACGAGATGCGATCAATTGTTTGGTGATGCTGCTTTGGCGGCGGTGCACACGCACGCACAAATACAGAAACTCTACGCTTGATGCCGGGAAAACACGGTCCCGTGAATGTAACTGCTCGACCACAGCTGTTCATGATACGATGTACAGTATGAATGCTGAACTTCTCTCACACCGTGCACAGCCAACCGTTGCTCATCGGATGTGCGGTGGGGGAGGTAGGACAACAAACTACAACGCAGAAAGCAGCTCTAAAGAGATACGTTTGTAAATGTAGATGATATAAAAGTGCATGTCTCTCAGTGGCATCCTCATGCCAGAGGGAAGGGCGTTCCACGCGGCGTTCGTTGGTGTCACACCGGTGAGACGAGGCCACAGAGGAGGCTGGCCCCTGGTGCAGGCAAATCACTTTCAAGGACAATGCGCGACATTACTGACAGAGCGCGTGTGCTTGCATGGTTCACGACAATCGTGATGCGTGCTTAACGCAGACTCGGTGACGCCTTGACATGACGGGTGTGCGTCTATTCGGCGTTTGAACATCTTAACACTCGGTTTAACACGCGGTTTAACACTCGGTTTAACACGCAGCGGGGCATTCGCGCCCATTAATATCCATAAGAGGTTTGTGGGTGAGATCGCGTAGATATAAATGCGTCGTTAAACCCGCCACCACCCAACACAACCAATTAGCAAGGTCCGTCACGTAAACACAACGTGGCCAACTCGTTACCAGTTCAGCGCACCGGTGTGTTGGAGAGTAAACCTACAACATTTACATTTCGGTAATTACAACCAGCAAAACGTCATACTCGAATCGTGACACGTGCCACATTGTCACACGACACGCGCCACGTGGCCCAGTGCCACGTGTCCCAGTGCCACGTGCCCCAGTGCCACGTGCCCCAGTGTCACGTGGCCCAGTGTCACGTGCCCCAATGTCACGTGGCCCAGTGTCACGTGCCCCAGTGTCACGTGTCCCAGTACCACGTGCCCCAGTGCCACGTGCCCCAGTGCCACGTGCCCCAGTGCCACACGACACGCGCCACAGGGCCAAGACGGCGCGCGACTGGGCGACTGCTCAGGCGCCACGCGTCACTCTCGCCGCCCCGCCCCCCTCACCACGTGATTGGGAAACGTCACAGTTGCCAAGATCGCAGCACGAGCAATCTCGGTGCCATTCACAACTCCCCCCAGGAATATCTCTCGCTGGAGTCTCAAAACTCCTGCACCGCACGCTCATGCCAGGCTCCGGGTTACGAAGAAGAGGTGGGTTGGGGGTGTGGACGAGAAAATGACGAGGCAAGGGGGTCCCATCCAGGTTAGATTGCGTGACTATAAATGTGTCATTAAACCCGCCACTTCCCGCACCTCCGATTAGCACGGCTGGCTAAGTATGGTGCAAGAGAAGTTCAACATACATACCAACAGCACGCTCACCCCGACCATAGCCTCACTCACCCCTCTCTCTCACTCACTCTGGACCACAGCCTCACTCACTCACCCCTCACTCACTCACTCACCCCTCACTCACTCACTCACCCCTCACTCTCTCACTCACTCACCCCTCTCTCTCACTCACTCACTCTGGACCACAGCCTCACTCACCCAACTCACTCACTCACCCAACTCTCTCACTCACTCACCCCTCACTCGCTCACTGGCTCACTCACTCACCCCTCACTCACTCACTCACTCACTCCAGACCACAGCCTCACTCACCCAACTCACTCACTCACTCACCCCTCACTCACCCCTCACTCACTCACCCCTCACTCATTCACTCACTCACCCCTCACTCACCCCTCACTCACCCCTCACTCACCCCTCACTCACCCCTCACTCACCCCTCACTCACCCCCACGGCCCCTCACTCACTCACCCAGCCCGCACACCCCCCCCCCGCCCCAACTCGCGTCCACCTCTCGCGCTCACCCCCCCCCCCCCGCCCGCGCCCCCCCCCCCCCGTGACCACGGCCTCACCTCTCGCACTCACCCCCCCGCGCCCCCCCCCCCCCCCGTGACCACGACCTCACCTCTCGCACTCACCCCCCCACGCCCCCCCGCGACCACGACCTCACCCTCTCGCACGCGCGCACCGTCCACGCGGCGATGATCCACAGCGAGATGCTGAAGACGAGCAGCACGGTGCCGGGGCAGATGGTCATGAGCGTCTTCATGACGAAGCGCGTGTTGAAGTTGATCTTGTTGAGGGCGCCGATGCTTCGCGACGACGCGTCCGTGAACAGCTTGCTGTGCAGCAGCATGACGCGCGCGATCAGGTAGAGGCGCAGGAACATGGGGATGGAGAGGACGATGTCGACGTCGGCCTCCACCTGCGAGGCGTCGTGCGTGAAGGCGAGCCGGGCGCGCCACGTGAACGTGTAGTGGCCCGGCACGGGGTGCACCGCGCAGATCGACAGCTCGAGGGCGATGAAGAAGATGCGCTCCCACGTCATGGCGATGCGCCAGTCGTCCGCGCCGTTGTCCACCATGAAGAGCTGCGCGCGGGGAAAGGGGGTGGGGGGGGGTTGATGGGTCAGGGGAGGATAGGCACCCGCGAAGGTTAGGGTCAGCCTCGACTCGGCTGATGAGGCTGTGAATGTTGAAGCCGTGTTGGACCAGTGGCTAGCCTGACTCTGCTGATGAGACTGTGAACGTTGAAACCGCATTAAATCAGTGGCTAACCTAACTTATACTGATGAGACTGTGAACGTTGAAACCGTGTTGAAACAATGGCTAACCTGACTTATACTGATGAACTGTGAATGTTGAAACCGTGTTGAACCAGTGGCTAACCTGACTCTGCTGATGAGACAGTGAACGTTGAAACCGCGTTGGACCAGTAGTTCATTGTTAGATAAGTCTCACTTTGCTGATGAGACTTTGAATGTTAAACACAAATGCTGCTGGAAAATAAACCCACTCCCAGAAGGCCATTTGGCTAATGCAATGTAAAAGAAAAACGTCATTTCCTGTGGAGACACAAATATGGGAAGCAGGTGCATTGTCATCGTATTCATTGGCCAATCACACCTCCATTTTCTATGGTTCTTTCGATAAAGTCACGTACATAGATATGAATGCCTGCAGTCACGAAAGTTTTAAGTCAAAACACCTTCATATATAGAGGACTGCAGATCGTGGTGTCATCGCTGCCTGGCTGATGTAGCTGCCTTCCCACTCGTTTGGGGTTCCTACTCCTGGCAACGCTGAGTCGTCCCCCTCTCTGAGTCGTCCCCCTCTCTGAGTCGTCCCTTCTCTCTCTCTCTCTCTGTGGTCCCCATCGCTCTCGAAGTCATCCACTCCCTCTCTCTCTCCCTCCGAGTCGTCCCGTATCGCTCTGTACGAGAGCGGGGGGCGATCACTGCAGTAGCGTCGATACAGAGTTACACCTTCAAATTAAAATAATTATGAATACAAACTAATTCTTAATAATAATATTGATTCGTTTACTTTGTATCCTGCTATATTTTGTTCCTACATTTGCTTTGTAATTATTATTTTTATAATATTCTAATAATTAGTTATAATAATTATTCATATTCTTATTAATTTGCTTACTTTCTATCCTGTATCTGTTCTCATTTCATTTTGTTGCGTCCAACATTTTCTCCGTTGACAATGTGTAAAAAAATAAAAAAAGGCCTTATAACGAATTTGTATCATTTTTTTTTAAGCTTCGCGCAAATCTTTCCGCGGTGTTCCCGAGTCAGCTGCGTCCTTCCGTCTCGTCGCCTTGAATCACTCGCCTACTTCAACATCAACATTGATAATGATAATTCACAGACGGGCCCCAGTGAACGCAACGGGCTTCTTTTAATTAGGGAGCGTGCTCTTCGTTTAATGGCCGTGGATCAATCACGCGGCAGCGTGACAATCAATAGGTGCGCGGGATAAAAATAGCGCAGTGCCACGGCTACAAGGGGAGCCCCCCCCCATCCCCCTCCTCTCCCCGCCCCCCTCTCCGCCCCCTCCCCCCTCTCCTTCTCCCCCACTCCCCCTCCTTCCTCCTCCTCCTCCCGTTCTCATCCCCTCCATCTCCCCTGCCCCCCACTTCACTCACTCACTCCCCCCCCCCAATTAATCTACCCCCCACCACCACATTCACCCTGACCCCCCCCCTCCCCAATTACTGAATTAATAAATGACCCAGGCCGCGCGTAGTATGAACTGTATGTTGAACTTCTTTCGCACCGTATGCAGCCGACCGTAACATGGTACGAAGGGTGGGTGACTGGAAAAGATTCACGGTGAAGTCTCACAGAGCGAGGGGGTGTGGACCCCTTACAGCGCGAGACGCGATAACAGCACACGCGCTCACCCAGCAGCTGACAGGACATCACAACGAGAATTGTGAACAATGAGAGTGTCGACTTCTAGTGTTGCACTGCCGTACTGTGTACACTCGTTCCGGGAAAGAGAGAGGGAGGGGACGACTCGGAGAGAGGACGACTTAGAGAGAGAGGACGACTTAGAGAGAGAAAGGACTACTTAGAGAGAGGACGACTTAGAGAGAGAGAGAGACAGGACGACATAAGAAGAAAGAGAGAGGACGACTCAGAGAGGACAACTTAAGGAGAGAGAGGGGACGACTTAGAGAGAGAGAGAGGACGACTTAGAGAGAGAGAGGACGACTTAGAGAGAGAGGGGACGACTTAGAGAGAGAGGGGACGACTTAGAGAGAGAGAGGACGACTTACAGAGAGAGAGGACGACTCAGAGACGCCAGTAGGAGGAGGAGGAACCACAGACGAGGAGCGGGGCGGCAGCAGCAGCCACATTGCTGCGAGGAACCGGCGCTACCAACAATTGCCCAAGCTTTGCTGTCCTCTATGCATAAAGGTGTTTTCGGCCAATTAATGAGCGTTCATACGTATGGGAGGAACCCAAAGCATCCGGAGACAACCTCCGCGTGTGAGGGGGAAACACTCCATCCCGTACAGAGGGAACAGGCGGAATCCGCACTCTGCTGTGCCGCCTACTCCTGGCGAGCCGGGGCACGGCAAGGGAGCTTCACAACAACCCCATCTGCGTGTGATCCACCCACCCGCGCTGCCTGCCTCCACATTGCTGCCGGATTGCAGGCAGCCACGTGCAGCGGCGTAGCCACCACCACCACAACCACCGACACCACCACCACAACCACCACAACCACCACAACCACTACCACCACCACAACCACTACCACCACTACCACCACAACCGCAACCACCACTACCACCACCACCACAACCACCGACACCACCACCACCACAACCACCACAACCACCACAACCACTACCACCACCACAACCACCACCACCACCACAACCACCACAACCACCGCCGCCCGGCTGATGCAATGACCGGGTCATGGTGGCGAGAGGGTGCTAAGGTGGCTGGCTGTGAGATGTTAACCACCTCGCCTGCTATACATGAGGTCGTGGGTTTGATCCGTGACGCCTGCTGCTCTATATTCCCAGTTTGCGTGTTCTCTCTCTCTCTCTCCCTGTGGTCGCGTGGATTTTTCTCCGCGTCTCCCGTATTTTGCCCGCACATTTAACATCACGCGATCAGCGTATTTGGCTACCGCTCTTCATTCACACGCGATGAGCCACTTGGTCGAGCTATCATTTGCGATAGGCCTGGTGGCTGGCTGAAAAAAATCCATAGAGCTCAGTGGAGCCTTACCTGGGTGACATAAATTTTAAAGAACGTTGTTAGTTTAGTTTAGGGTCGAGGTGCACATCGCGGATACTGCGGAGAGATGCGCCAGCCAGAACAGCAGCAAGGCAACGGTGGCTATGCCACGCTGATGAGTTCTAACAACGATGAAACCAGTTATATATATACACACATGGGTCGTCTCGGTTTGCCCCTTGCTGCTGGCAGTTTTTTCGTGACAATGTTTCAATTCTGGGCCCCCTATTTGAGCTGGTCAGGGGGCTGCCACCCAAGGCTCTGTGCGGGATCGTGATGCCAAGGTCCATGCTACGGCATCTCGGGGGGAGGGAGGAGGAGGGGGGGGGGGAGGTCACCATTCAATTTGGGGGGGGGGATTTTTTTTGTTTTGTTTGCGTCTCGTGTGTATTATTTCTTTGTTACTTTCCGTCTCGTTCGTACAATTTTCGCTCGGCCAATTGCTGCACCAAATAATTGGCATACCGACTGCATCCATTCATTCCAACCCAAGGGGTGGGGGTGGGTGGGGGTGGGTGGGGGCGTTGCATGGTCGATCTCCACCCAGCACCCAATCCGCGTTGGGTGAGTCAGGACGTGGGCTCGCAACGCATTTTTTGGGTGCACTTTGATTTAAAATAATAATAATTTTCACGAGTTAAAGGGGCCCTCTTTAAAAATACACAGACACGCACACGCGCTGGGCCGTTGCGAAGTTTCAAGACCGGCCTCTGACACAGTAACTACTTGCCGTTACTACGCTGGCCATAATTTACCTATTTAAACATTTTTTTTACTTTACCAGGTATGGCCCCACCGAGCTATACAACAAGAGGGACCTGACTTTCACAAATTATAGCTCAACCAAGTGGCTTATCGTCATCACGTGGTCATTTATCAAAGCCAAATACTCGAGACGCGTGATGTTGATTCTACATGTGGAGGAAAATCACTGGAGGACCCGGAGAAAAATCCACGCGACCACGAGGAGAGAGAGACACACAAACTCCAAATATACAGTAGGCGTCAGTCAGGATCGAACCCACAACCTCCTGTATACCAGGCGAGGTAGTTAACATCTCCTAGCCACCGTGATGATGAGACTTGACTTTTAAACAACTTCTATTGCCGCCAGCAGCAAAAGCACTGGAGGTTATTTAAATATGAAATACAGAGTCACTAGCAAACAAATGAAAATTAACGCTACAAATCGACACGCTGTGGTGCTAAAAGCACCGCGCACAATACAAAAGAAAAGTCATGTGGTTGTGGTGTCATTTGAGAGAGAGACGCAAACTCCAAATATACAGCAGCAGGCGTCAAGGTCGGGGTCGAACCCACGACCTCCTGTATACCAGGCGAGGTAGTCAACATCTCCTAGCCACCGTAATGATGAGAGAGAGACGCAAACTCCAAATATACAGCAGCAGGAGTCAGGGTCGGGATCGAACCCACGACCTCCTGTATACCAGGTGAGGTAGTTAACATCTCCTAGCCACCGTGATGATGAGAGAGAGACGCAAACTCCAAATATACAGCAGCAGGAGTCAGGGTCGGGATCGAACCCACGACCTCCTGTATACCAGGCGAGGTAGTCAACATCTCCGAGCCACCGTGATGATGAGAGAGAGACGCAAACTCCAAATATACAGCAGCAAGAGTCAGGGTCGGAATCGAACCCACGACCTCCTGTACACCAGGCGAGGTAGTCAACATCTCCTAGCCGCCGTGGTGCTCTGACCAGAGCCTCCACTCACCCTCCTCCCGCCGGCATACTCGCTTGATGGCACCAATTAGCTTAATTAACAGCGCGGTAGGTAGGTAATGAGGTATGTTATTGTCGGCTCCTTCTCGCTCGCCTGTAAATTGCCGCTCCGAAATTATCATTCACAGGCGTCGAGTTCCGACGGAGCGGAGCGCGGAGGCAAACATCGATTACTCCGCTCGCTAAATAACCCACTCCCCCACGTCGCCCCCCACCCCTCTTCCGTGACGAGTCAAAAGTTCTCTCCTGGCCACGGCCACAGTGGGAATCAACGCGCAGTTCAGATGACGTTTGGCCACTACTATGAATGGCCCACGTGCGGTGATGGTGATGATGATGACCATCAATACTCTAAACGTGTGATGTCGATTCTACATGCGGAGGAAAGAACTGGAGGAACCGGAGAAAAATCCACGCGACCACGGGGAGAGAGAGAAACTACAAACTACAAATATACAGCAGCAGGCGTCAGAGTCAGGATCGAACCCACGACCTCCTGTATACCAGACGAGGTAGTGAGCATCATCATCACCATGACCATCATCATCAGCCGCTTCGAGCTGTCATCACGTGCGACCAGATCACCCAGGGCTCAGTGGCCTTGACCTGTTGTGTGTGTGTACAATAGAGACGTGCAGAGGTTATACCTTTGTACCTGATTTCTAAACTACATTTTTCTTGCCGTGGGTTTCCCACCTGATGATGATCGCTTGTGTTGCAATCGAAACGTCGGGAGTTCTTTTTATTTTAGTTTATACCTACGTATGGATCCCTGCAGTCACGAAAGCTTCAAATCTAGATTAAACTACATTCACTATTTTTTGTGTTCTAGCAGGTAAGGCCTCCACTGAGCTAGGCAGCTCTTGTTCAGAAGCGACCTGGCGATCACAAATGACAGCCCAACGAAGTGGCTCATCATCATCATCACGTGGACATATAAAGCAGCCGAATAATCTAAACGCGAGGGGGAGGGGGGAAAGCCAGAGGACCCGGAGAAAAATCCACGCGACCACGTTGGGGATACACAGCAGGCGGCGTCGTCGTCAGGGCCAGGAGTATACCTCCTGTACACCAGGCGAGGTAGTCAACATCTCCTAGCCACCGTGATGATGATGAGAGAGAGACAAGCAAACTCCAAATATACAGCAGCAGGCATCAGGGTCTGGATCGAACCCACGACCTCCTGTACACCAGGCGAGGGAGTCAACATCTCCTAGCCACCGCGGCGCCCAAGTGAGTGGATGTAACACAATAACGCCGGCGTGGTGTGTCGAGGCGTTCTCTCACTGCCCGCGGTTGGAACAAGTCGCCGAGGTTTATGCGATGGGGGTAGGATAACTCAACACGTCCATCGATAGCACTGCACGTGATCCTAAATGTGTAGATAGATGATATAGTACACATGCTGATATAGTACACATGATGATATAGTACACATGATGATATAGTACACATGATGATATAGTACATCATGATGATATAGTACACATGATGATATAGTAACACATGATGATATAGTACACATGATGATATAGTACACATGATGATTTAGTACACAGGATAGGCTACACGTTTTGGGAAGTGGCCTTTCCTCAATGCAAGGGCCGTTGCCAGAAACGTCGCCGATTAATTATTTGCATTTCCTTTTAAAGCCAGGGTGCTCCGTTTACAAGTTGTGTGTTGAGTTTTATTAGTTGGTCATTGTGCGCCACTGCCAACGCAGATTTTTTTTTGTTCAACATTAGTGGGCGAGTGTCTTAAAAAGAAACAAAGACAAAGATCCCCCGTATAGCCCCAACATACCGTAGGGGCAAGTGCTGTTAGCGAGCAGCACCTACGAAGTTAATTAAATGCACCCGTCAGCCACCCCAACCATCCTCCACAGCCCCCTGGGCAGGTCTCGTGTCGTGGGGTAAAGTGTGAGCACCACCCACCTCTTCCAAGGCACCTCGTCAGCGCGGAAGGAATGAGTGGGCGAGGGGAAGAGGAATTCTTTCCATCGTACAATTAATTCAGTGCTCTTGTCGTCTGTATATTTGGAGTTTCTGTGTGTGTGTCTCTCTCTCTCTCCCCGGGGTCGCGTGGATTTTTCTCGGGGTCATTCCGGTTTTTTTACCCTCCACATTAAAATCAATGTCATCACGCGTTTAGAAAGTATTTGGCTGCAATGCGCTTTCACGTGGTGGTGATGATGATGACACTTTCATGCGGAGGGGAGCTGGTAAGAACGTTGGGTTGCTCGGTCAATGGCCAGGGTCAACGGGCGGCGTGGTGTATTCCACAAATATGGCCGACTGTGATGGCGGGCACAAGCCGGCGTGAGTAGGTTAAACGTTGAGTTTTATAAGGGCACCACGGGGTGACCAGCCCCTCCCCACCCAGTCTCACCCCTCACACCCCCCACCCAGCCCCACCCTCCCGTCCCCCTCCCACCCTCCCCACCCAGCCCCTCCCCACCCTCCCCTCTCCACCCAGCCCCACCCCTCCCATTTTTGGATGCACGACAGACGGACAGGAGATTCCTACCGCCTCTTCATTGAGTTTTCGTTTTTGATGGCCAGGTCTCTTCTGAAAAAGAGCTGCATAGCTCAATGGGCCTTGCCTGGTAAAATAAAAAATAAAACTGTTTAAAGGGATGCTGACACATGGGCGTGCCTAGTTAGCGACGCACAAACCGCATCGCGCGGCGCTTTCGGATGCACTTCCGCGGCCGTCTGGAATGCTCTTCCTTCCGATATAATTAAGAAGCCATTGGGAGCTGTGCACTTTTAAATCATCATCATCGAGATTAACCAACTCATTTCTTCATAACAGTTGTTGTGTTTATGTTTCTTGTCCTTCCCCCCCGCGCCCCGCACCTCCGATTAGCACGATTGGCTACGTAGAGTGCGACAGAAGTTCAACGCACGTGCACACACACTGGGCGTGCACACGCACTGGGCGTGCGATCCCAGAGGCGGTCGGTTCGAGTCCATCTCCAGGACACGCGCGGTCGAAGCGACGTTGCAGAGTTTCACTACGACAGGAGGAGACGTCGTTCGCCAGCGGTGTCAGCCACGGCGGCCAATTGGAACCCGAGCTGCGGGGACTGTCCACCTCCTCCGAGACGTACAGGGCCCCCCCGCTTGGAAGAGTAGACCAATTACCCATCCCTGGCGGGGCTGTCTAGGAAGCTCCGTCGTGGGTTCGATCCCGGACCCTGGCGATGTTGTATATTTGGGGCCTGCGTGTTCTCTCTCTCTCTCCGTGGTGGTCGCGGGTTTCCCTCCGGGTTTTGAAATCCTCCACATTTAGAGTCGACGCGCGTTCAGTTTATTTGGCTAAACATGATATAAATTTCGAACCCCTCGCCAAACCTCCTACGCATTTCACAAGTAGTACTAATCGCATATCTGCATTTCCCATAAATATGCTAAATTCCTCTTGATATGCTAATTATTTTGCCAAGGCGCTCTTCGCCCCCCTCCATCCCAGCTTAAATAGTCGCTCCAAGCCTGGGGCTTGCCATTCAGACTCTGTCTCCTCGACCAGACCTGTTCTCCACCCAACCTGAGGACGGCGACTTTGCGTTGTGGCACCCGAAACGTCGTGAGAATTATTTTATATGTTTTATTTTATCATTTATATTTTCCATTCTACGGTGACTTTACCGAAAGAACCAAGAAGAGATCTAAATTGGAATCGGGTTATTTGCCTAAACATTATATATCAATTTCATGTTATTTGGCTATACATTATATAAATACAGGTTATTTGGCTATGCATTATATACATTTAATGTTATTTAGCTATACATGATATCAATTCAGGTTATGTGGCCGTGCGTTATATAACTTCCCACGTGTGGTGACGATGATGAGTGAGCATCACGAACAGCCCAGGCCACCTCGGAAACAGCGCCAACAGGTTCCACCTTTGTACCGGTTTCTAAACTAAAACCATCGTTTGTGATAGCGACCTGTTCATCACAAATCATAGATCAACTAAGCGGCATTTTGTCGTGTGGAGATTTAGAGCAGTAGCCAAATACTCTGAACGCGTGGTGATGTCGGTTCTAAATGTGGAGGAAAAAATCGGAGGACCCGGGTGAAAAATCCACGCGACCATGGGGAGAGAGAGAGAGACACGCAAACTCCAAATACACAGCAGGTGTCAGGGTCGGGATCGAACCCACGACCTCCTGTGTACCAGGCGAGCTAGTTAACATCTCCAAGCCA